ATTGCAGTAGTACTTAAAGCTGCATTTACCTTAGAATGGTAGCAAACACAATGATTCGAAGCACTATGTTGTGACAAAGTATCCCACGCAGTGGTTGTTTTATGTGTGTGCTGGTTTCAGGGAGGAGAAGAATGGCTGCCTATTGGAGATGGGAATCTAAGACAATTCATATTTGCTACAGTGCAGAAGTTTGCAACTGCAGGCAATTACAGTGACCTGTAACAACTTGTAACCCTGATGTCTGTACATGTTCTTTCCCTATGGTTGAACAGAAGACAATTTGAAGTAGGCTGAATGCTTATGAGTTATTTAAGATTACCACTGGATTTTGGATTCAGGATTTGCCTTTGAATAAAGGTATGCAGGGAAGATACTCTGGAATTTTAATAAATACTACCTCCCTTCAAAATATTTGTAAAAGAATGATCTTCTAGGACCTTGCATTTATTAAATCATCAGTCACTGGAACATACATGTAAGGTTCTGTCAGCAAGTAGGTTCACGTTGCTGTTTAGAGTAACTAAGGACTTTCTGGTCTAAGGACTCTGTTGTGCTTCAGAGCCATGTTGTGTAAAGCTTCAGGAAAAATTTTAGCAGTGGGATGCACAGAGAAGTCGTATCTTAGTATTACTGGGAGATATACGAGGGAGGGATACATTTTACTATTCTTAAAGCAAGGTGACTAAACTAGCAGTTTTTGGAGTAGAAGAGTGCTGAAATCCAGCTGTTGAATTTCTGTCCTCATAATTCTACTTTTGTTAGTAAATCATGCTATTCCAGAACAACAGAAGTTTTTCTGAGTCAAACTGCTTGAGGAAAGAGTGAAGAGCTCTAAAATAACTCTTTAAAAATGGTGTTCTATACTTATATCTTCAGAGTCTATACTTATATCTTCAGAGTATTGCAAGTGTGCATAGTATTGCAGTAATGAGCAAAATGATTTTTTGGAAAATTAGTTTAGTTGTGCCAAAAAATGCGTATAAGTAAATGTTTTGATTTTTCTTCCCACCTGTTGAGGGGGAAATAGATTAATAGTAAGGTTTTTTTAAATTTAAAAATCTGTGCATGGATTCACATGGAAATGAAAAGTTTATGTTAATGAATACATTTTTTATTTATGCTGTTGCAAGCCCATTTGACTTTAGCCTGTTCTTTCTGATACATCTAGAGATATATCAGATATTGTGTATCTGTACTTCCATTGCAACTGCAAAATTTTAGTGTACATGAATAAATATATCCGTGTTTGACAGAGTCTGCATACCATGCAAATTCTCTTGAGTTCAGAGAAATTATTTTTCTTAAGCTGTTTGAACAGAATTTGACAAGATGTAAATTTGACTTGCTTGGAAGGCTGCAATTATTGTATTCTGTCAGCACTGGACTTCTTACATATTAGTAGAATTAATCATTAAGACTTATAGCAGAAGCAATAAAATTCACAAACTTGTTAGTTAAGTCATAATTTCTTGTGTGCTGGGAAATTAAAGGAATAAGAAAAATAACTGTTTTCTAAGTGGTTTGGGGTTTTTTTTCTTTTTTTTTTTTTTAAGTTACTAAAGCAGAAACATTTGTGCTAACACAACTAGCAGAAAGAATAATTAAGTATTTATTTAATACTTCTTGCAGAAATAAAATGATATTGAATTGCAGTTTGCCTTTTGTACCGCATTAGGAGTGTTCCTCAGCATTATGGTCTTGGGTTGTTGGACAAGGACAATCACCTTCCTCTCCCTGCTGGCTCCCCTGGCTGCAAGCAGACACTGCTGGCTCATGTTACAACTTTAATCTACCAGAATCCTTAAGTCCTTCTCAGCAGAGCTGCTCTCAAGACTGGGAGAAGAGCTCTCTCAAAAGACTGAGAGTTCTTCTCCAGGTCTGTGTACATATGTGGGATTCCTGCTCTCTGAGGTGGTAACAGGAATGGATTTTCTGTCTGCTGTTGGCAGTCTTAATTAGTTCACTAATTTTTAATTGTAAAATAACTTTTAACTCTTACACTGAGAATGTTGATGTTCTCATTCTGTATACCTGAAGACTGTCATTAGCTTTGTGTATGCAAACTGTCTATCTGCCCTACGAGATAATCAAATTTTAACTTTGTCTGTTTTGTTAAAGGCTTTCATGGTTGTAGAGCTGTTCCACCTTTCAAACCTGTGAGGTAGTGATGTCAACTAAGTCACTAGTGTAGTTTTTTCTCATGAACAGTCACATATGCATGAGTGCATATACTTAAAATACCAGTTCTTGTTTTCACTAGCTCCCATCCTGAGTGCAGTTAATAATGAGGAAAATGAAAGCTTTTCAGTTCATACTCATAAAAGAAAAAGGCTATTGTGATTAGGGCTAATGAAGTGTTACCTGAAAGAATTCTGCCTCTTAACAAAATTACTTTTAGTCCATTTTGAAGAATTTGGTAAAACTATTCAAACAATAGGGAATTTTGAAAAATGCTTCCTAAACCTTTTCTTTTGTTTTTAAAGTTGTGACTAGTGGCTTAAGGTGTGAAAACTATGAGTCACTGAATTTTATGTATTGTAACGAAACATTTGCTGGGATGACTGAACATTTTTTCTTACAAATAATATTTTGAAACCATTGTCTTAGATATATAAAACTATTTTTGCATGTCCTATATTGTGCATGGCTTAAACCAATTAAATACTTAACTGAAAGTGATTTGTAACTTGACCTGTCAAGCATCAGGTTAGGTTTTTGGACAAATATGGTTCCTTAATTAAAAGTCAGTACTGGATTCTTACAGTGTGTGTGGATTAAGATCTGCTAGAGAATTTTCATTAAAGTAGTAGCTGGCTTACCTAATTTTGCTTATAGACTGTTTAAGAATGTAGATAACCTTGTGAGTTATAAATGTTACTTGATTGGTTGGAAGGTGCAAGTAGACTCATTTCAAAAGTTTGAATCGATTTGTGGAATCAAACTCTCTAACCCACGTAAGGTTATAAGAGCAGATACGTTTTTATTTCAGTGCTGCGCCACACGCTGGGTACAAGGGGGATCGCTCCTCCTAGCTGGCACACCAGAGGATGGGCTCTCTATACATTTATAAGCCAAGCCCATACATATTCTGCAGTATTTCTCAAGACCTACTGACACATTCATTACTTTTCCAGGAATTCATTTACATACTGTCCCTCCCCCTAGTGCATGCGCAGTAGCTTCCTCTGGTGGTCATTGGATGAAGGCTCGACGTCTTCCTCCCTACCTGGCGGTCGTCCCTGGATGAAGTCGGTAGTCTTCCTCGCCATGTCCTTCTGACCTTTGTTTGAGTTTTGAGCTCTTCTCCCACCCTGTGTGCCTCTGCAATTTCTTATCCTATTTGCTCCCCTTTCCATTGTTCTCTCATTGGCCCCTTTCGGCTAGCAAAAATTAAACTAAGCAACTCCTTCTGAGTCAGCAACAGTTAAACTAAGAGATGCTATTTGCGAATTCCTTCTGAGTTAGCAATACCAAGCGGTGCTATGGACCCCATACATCTTTTATTCTTCAGTTTGCTGTCTCAGTTCCTCCCTTTTCATTGTGACTTAGTGAATTCTTTTGCTAAATTGCCCCATTTTGGGAAAGGAAGGACCTTAAAGGACTCCCTTAAACTTTCCATTTTTTGCCTTAGTTTATGCTTTTTCCATTCTTCATCACTATTCCCTGGTCCAGATGTTTTGCAGAGCCATAGTACATACCTCATTGCAATGCACATCAGTGTGAGCAGAAAGATAATGATAACACCGGATACAAAAAGCTTCTTGAGCCAAGCAAAGTCAAGTAGCCAACTAGTAAGTGTTTCCCATATCCCCTTTAGTCTCTCAGTAACTGGGTTAGTCTCAATTTGTATTTCCTGTATGTTATCTTTTATTTTTGTGAGCATCCTATGCATCGATTCTGAGTGGTCCGAAAGATTAAAGCAACACATCCCACTAAGATCCTCACAACCATGCCCCTGAGCAAGTAACAGGAAATCTATAGTGGCTTGGTTCGGGAGTACTGCGTGGCGTACATTATCCACAAATCGTATACCGGATCCAATATTACTGCCGAGGTGAGATTTATTTCTTTTGCTATGAAAAACGCCAACCTCTCCAAATGCACATCATTTTTTGCAGGAAGTATTGAAGTTAAAAGGGTGGCTGTTATTCTAGTAGGAGAATTCCAGAATGTAATCTGACTATTGTGTGTTTCTGATAGTTGATGTATACTCCTGCTGCCCCTATGTGATCTATTATTATTCCAAATTGTGTTGTTCAAAAGGTCCTTCATTCTAGGAGCAAACAAGGTTAATTTACCAAGATAGCAGGGCCCACCTACTGGCCTTGCTGGTATACTAGGCCATGCTTGATCCCCACATGCCAAGAATATCCCAGGTGGTAGTTATTTTGCTTGCGTGCTGTTATTCCACACATTATTTGTTTCTACTTTGCGGGGGAGGCCACCTCAGACAGATGGGTAAAGGTGGAATCATGATTCATGGGCCTCCAAAGTTCTAACTCACTCTTACCCCAGTGCCAAGTCATTCAGGCTGCACTTGATGCTTTTCTACCTCCAGAGTGAAAGCACCGAGTTCTATTTGGGTCGTGTCTAGATTTGTTATGCACTACCGCTCCCAGCAGATCTTCTATCTAGACTTTAGACTATTAACTGTTGTGCTCATACGAAGGGCGTCTTCTGCCCCCGTGTTTGCTCTGTACCTTGAGCAGGACATAGTTCATCTTGAGCTTACCCCCAGTGTTTTACATAGGGTTGTGAGGTTTGCAGACAAGCCCACAGTGTTACTCACATAGTTTACGAATATAGACAACTGAAAACCCCGTAGTACCACAATAAGGCATGTTTGGAAGGGGTCCAAGGCTGATTGTAACGCAAGGCAGAAAGACTCCTGATTAGTTTGATTAGCCCAAGTAACCCACATGTTAGTTCTAACATCTATGTTATGAATTGCTTCTCCACCCCCTCCTAGTAATAGTTTTAATATTACCATTATTAGTCCTTCAGAGTCCTTCATTTTGTTGCTTTCTTCGGAGTACTACTCCGGGAGGCCCTCTGGTCTCTGTAGTCCAAAGCGGTTGAATCACCTTCTTCAGGCGAGTATGGTGTATCCACAGAATTAGTCCCTCTACTTTAGCTGCTGTGTGGGTGGTCAAGAGTACTTGGTAAGGCCCTTTCCACGTTGGTTCCAAGGGTGAATCTGAGAGGGATTTAACATAAACATAGTTGCCTGGTGAGATATTATGCTATTGGGCCATCCAGGCCTCATGCTCTGGTACCAAATGCTGTTTTCTTCATTCTCCTTAGTTGCTTTGCCAAGCTTATCATTTATTCATTCAACACTTTGTTCCCCACCTGCATAGAAATTCCCTTTTGTACAGCATAAGGCCTTCCATAAGGAATCTCACAAGGGCTCAACCCTTCCTTGGTTCAAGGTTTAGTCCGGATTCTTAATAAAGCCAAGGGCAGTGCTCGGGGCCATGGTATTCTAGCCTCTTGTCCCAGCTTTACTAGCTGTAATTTTATCAGGTGGTTCATTTTTTCCACTTGACCAGTGGATTGAGGCCTGGAGGGAGTATGTAGTTGCCAGTCAATCCCCAGTACGGATTCTCATTTGCTGCGCTATTTTAGCAACAAAGTGAGGTCTTCTATCTCAGGATAGCACTGCCAGCACCCTGAAACTTGGAATGATTTCATGCAACAATGCTTTAGTTACTTCTCTTGCCTTATTAGTTTGGCATGGATATGCCTCGGGCCATCCTGAAAAGGTATCAGGTAGGACCAACAGGTACCTATACTCCCCTTTTCTCGGGAGTTCTGTGAAATCCACCTGCCACTGTTGCCCAGGGAAATTTCTCCTTCCTATCTACTCTATTTGGGTCCTTTGACCTGTCTTTGGATTCTTCTGCAAACAAATCTCATATTGCTGAGTCATCTATTTCATTGTGGTATATAAATTTCTGGCTGTATCTGCCCATTAAACTCTTATACAAGGCTTCTGTACTCCAATGGGTTTTTCTATGTTTTGCCTTTAGTATAGCCCATAATGTGGCTGATAGGATAATTAATTTCCTTTGTGGCGTAAAAGCCCGTCCTTCTCTTTTCTGTTCCCCTAGATCATTTATCAAGTTGCAGTCTCCTTTTGAATATTTTGGCTCACCGTCCACTTGAATTTTACTATCTGGAATCAAGGACCCCTCTGTCACCGCATTCTCAGCTGCTCGTTTCACTTCCCGATCAGCTAAGGCATTTCCCATCTCTTCAGCATTATTTTCTCTTTGATGGGAGCAGCAATGCATAATAGCCACTTTCTCTGGTTGCTGTACTGCCTCCAGAAGTCTAGGCATTTCCTGGGCATGTTTAATGCTTTTCCCTTGGGCAGATAATAGGCACCTCCCCTTCTATATTGCCCCATGAGCGTGCACAACACTAAAAGCATATTTTGAGTCTGTCCATGTGTTTATCTTTTTCCCTTTGGCCAATTCTAGAGCCCTTGTCAAAGCTATTACTTCAGTCTTTTGCGCCAAAGTATTTGGAAGTAGGGTTTTGGCCTCTATTACCTTTTCAACAGTTGTTACCACATATCCTGCTTTACAAGTTCCTTGTTGAACAAAACTGCTCCCATCCATGCACCAGATGTCTTCTGCATCCTTTCAGGGTTCCTCTTTCAAGTCCAAACAGCTAGAACATACAGCTTCAATAGTCCCTAAACTGTCATGGGATACAGGTTCCTCCGTAACTCCACTAAGAAATGAGGCTGGATTAATGATGTTTGTTACTAGTATTTCTATATCGTCCTGCTCCACTAAAATAGCTTGATATTTCAGAAATCGCTGAGGGGAAAGCCAGTGTACCCCTTTCACTTCCAACACCGTGGAGACTGTGGGATACTAGTACAGTCATCTTTTGCCCCATTGTAAGCTTTCAGGCTTCTTGGATGTTGATTACTAGGGCAGCTACAGCCCTTAGGCATCCCGGCCAGCCTTTGCTTACTTCATCAAGCTGTTTAGAGATATAAGCTACCACTCTTCGATATAGCCAAAGGTTCTGAGCTAACACCCCCAAAGCTATTCCCTATTTCTCATAGGAGAATAGCAAAAAGGACTTTGTGACATCTGGGAGCCCCAAGGCTGGGGCTCTCATTACCTCTTGTTTTAACTGTCAGAATGCCTTTTTAGCCTCCCTGTTTCATGTTATGTCTTTGGGTTGGGATTTTATCAGCGTGTAGAGCGGTTTTACCAGTATTCCATAGTTGGGTATCCATAGATGGCACCATCCAGCCATTCTGAGGAATGTTCGAAGCTCCTTAGATGTACATGCTCGGGGGTCTAGCAAATAGCCTCCTTCCGGGCGGTTCCCAATGTCTGTGTCCCTACAGCAATTCCATATCCCAGGTGAGTTACCTGTTGTTGGGCCACTTGTGTTTTCTGTGGAGAGACTCGATAGCCATTAAGCCCCAGGAAGTTTAGTAAGCTTACTGTCCATCTCAAGCATGCCTCTTTTGTCTTGGTAGCTATTAAAAGATCATCTATGTACTGTAATAGTACCCCTTTGTCAGGTGGACGTTCCCATAGCTCCAAATCCTTGGCCAATTGATTCCCAAATATTGTGGAGCTGTTTTTAAATCCTTGTGGGAGTACAGTCCAAGTCAATTGTGATTTTTGTCCTGTACTGGGGTTTTCCCATTCAAATGTGAACAGCAGCTGACTCTCGGCTGGAAGTGGCAGGCAGAAAAAGGCATCCTTTAAATCCAGGACAGTAAAATATGCTAGTTCAGTAGACAGTATGGGAAGCAGGGTATAAGGGTTTGCTACTAAAGGATACAAATCCTCTGCTATTTTGCTAACTGCCCTCAAGTCCTGTACTATTCAATAACTACCGTCAGGTTTTCTTACTGGTAATATCGGTGTACTGTATTTTGATTCACACTTCACCAATATGCCGTATTTCATAAATCAGTCAATTATTGGTTGTATTCCTTCCCTGTCTTTCATCCCTAATGGGTACTGTTTAATCCTTGGGGGTTGGCTTCCTAATTTAACCTTTATGACCAAAGGAGATGCATTCCTAGCTTGCCCCAGGGTTTCAACTTCCCATACTCCTGGAAAAACCTGATATTTTATATCCTCTGGGATCTCTGTGTCTACCGGGGTAGTTATTAAGGCCAAGCTAAGTAATTCTACAATGGACTTGTCCTTTACTCTGAACTTAATTTCCTCTGCCTCAAATTTTATTTCTGCATCCAATTGTTCCAGTAACTCTTGTCCCAGAAAAGATTTTGGTGAATTTGGCATATACAAAAATCTGTGTATTCCCACCTGTTTTCCTAACTTAAAGGTTTGAGAAAATATGTCTTTTCTGGATGATCCGTGGCCCCTGTTACCACGGTATATTCTTGACTGAGTGGTGTTGAGGATTCATTCAAGGCTGAATAAGAAGCCTCCGTTACAAATTCTATACTCTGCTGTTTATTCCCTAGCTTGATTTTAACCAGTAGGGTGGAATTCCCCAGTCCCCATCATTGTTCTAATGGGGCTTGGATTCTTGTCCACGGCCCTTTACCCCTCTGGTTCCATTGAGGACAGTCCCTTTTCCAATGTCCTTTTTTCTTGCATATTGCACACTGATCCTTGTCCAGTGTTTTCATCCCCGGTCTCACCTTATTCATCCCTGATTTACCTATCTCTCCTAATGCTGCCATTAATATTCGCTTGTCATGCCTCCTACTTTCCTCTTCCCAATTGGTAAATACCGTCCATGCTTCCTCTAACAAACTTTCTAAGTTTCGTGCATCAAGACCCTTCATTTTCTGCAGCTTCCGTCGTACGTCCCCTGTTAATTGTCCTATAAATAATGATGTAAGTTGCTGGATATCTATTTCTGATCCTGGATCTAAGGATGTGTGTTTTCTCATGGTATCTCTTAGCCTATCCAGAAACTCCGAAGGAGTCTCTCTTGGTCCTTGCTTTATAGCGTGTAGGGTGAACCAATCAATAGCTTTGGAGATGGCTCTCTCCATTCCTTTTATACCCACTCTCAGTATGCTATTAGGCGGTCTCGCTCAGGTGCCCTGTACAAATCCCAGTGAGGATCTTGTCTTGGAAAATTGTCTTTTATATCTTTATGCCCTCTTCACAAACTGTCCTCTGCCAGATTCTGGGCTGTTTTTAGGATCAAATCTTCTTCTGTTTCTGTCATAGAATCCAGTAACAGCTGAATATCATTCCAATCTGGGTTATGCTGTCTGATCTTGTATTGAAAATGCCGTGTTACCCCCCCCCCTCCCTTCCCCCAATCACTTCAATAATCTTTAGCAATCTTTTTCCAATTCTCCAGATCAAATGAAGAAAATGGGACCTTGACTAAAATCTGTGCCCCGTCTGGTCCTACTGCTTCCCTTAAGGGAGTCAAGAAAGCACTTTGCTACTTTCCAGTTCTTGAAGCAATAGGGGAATCTGGTGGAGCTCCGGGGAGGGAAGAATCCTCTTCTTCCTCTGAATATTCTCTCCATTCCAATGCCAACACCTCTTACGACTGGAGCCTGATACTGATCAAACAATTTGTCAGGGGTTCTAATTTTTGTTAGTCTGGTGCACTGCTGCCCTAAGCTACATGCTGAGCAGCAACGCTTCATTTTCCTGTTTGTTGCTCTTTTCATAATGCTAACACTAAAGGATCCTGCAGGGCCCCTATCCTTTTTGCCTTTCTGGGTGATTTCAGAGGGTAAAGAACATGTCTGCATATGTGACCTTGTCCCATTTGCCTTCCCTTCTTAGAAATAGCATTAGTTGCAAAATAGTATATAATTTAAGGTCCCATTTAGGGGCCACTTTTCCCCATCTTTTAACTTGTATAGCATCCACCATTGGTTGCAGTATTTCATCAGGGTTTTCTTATTCAAAGTATCCCCTGGCCCTCCTGCAGCATCCTTCCGATGTGCCAGTGTAGGCCCGAGAGGTGTCTTTTTAGGTATTTCTCCCCCTTGTGACCCTCCCATAGCACTATTTTGTTGTTTTGTTAGTTTACTAATGTTTCCACAAATTACTCCTTCTATCCTGAAGTTTCCCCAAAACAATCCCTGGAACTTGTTCCAGCACTCTTGTCCACACTCCAGGCTCAAGTAACACCAATACCCTATACTCAATATATCTCTTTACAGTCTGAACAGAGTATAACATAAACTGGACAGCATACATTTGTTCTGTGAAATATACACCTTTCTTCTGGTCCGTTACTGTAATTTATGATATATAAGTTCCCATATTCATCCCACTCCAAGAAGTTCATTTACATTTACACTAAAACCACTCAGATCCCCTTTTTCCCAGTTTATCAAAAATAATACATACAGGGGAGTAGTATAGATGAGCAAAACAATTAACAACTTCCACTTTGCCATTTCCCTCGCGGGAGGATGGAACCACAGATTAGGACCCAACTTTCACTCTGTAGCTTAGCTATACCTTAGTCACACCACATTCACTCCGACACTTAGGTTTGCCAGCTCAGGTAACATCTTAGTTCAGATGTTTAAAAGGATATCGTGAATGTATCAATAACAGTTATTCAGACACACAGTACTGAATGTTTGCAGCAGATGGTAATAACAGTGCGGATTACTATTCCTACTACTGCAACTAGAGTGATACAGGTTATCATTTGACAGGTGTCAGCACTATACCTCGCTAACCTGGGGTGGGACTTAAATCCACAATCCTTGGAATCAACATGAGTTCTAGATTACTACAAACCCATGATTACTAGTGCCCAAACGCTAGCCTAGCTTACAATTGCAAGCCAGAGGTGGGACTCAAACCCATGATCCTTGGAATCAGATACAGTGCTATAAAATGCCTGTCCCCGCTAATTACCTTCCTATCCTGTCCCTCTGGACTAGTCCAGTCTCAGGGTAAACCCTCCTGTGTGGGGGGTCCCCTCACATCTTACGGAGTCCCCTTCTGCTCCTGCATGCACCTTATGGAGCCTTCGTTTCAAACATACCTGATCTGCTTGCAGATGGTCCTTGTCTGTCCCCACAGTGATTAGATGAGGAGGGAGAGTCCCTCCAAGAATTCTCAGGCCACACACCAGAGGCCCCCTCTCAACCAGTCCTGCAGCCGAATAGAGATTGTCCCATCTGGGGTGCCAAATTGATTTGTGGAATCAAACTCTCTAACCCACGTAAGGTTGTAAGAGCAGATACGTTTTTATTTCAGTGCTGCGCCACACGCTGGGTACAAGGGGGATCGCTCCTCCTAGCTGGCACACCAGAGGATGGGCTCTCTATACATTTATAAGCCAAGCCCATACATATTCTGCAGTATTTCTCAAGACCTACTGACACATTCATTACTTTTCCAGGAATTCATTTACATACTGTCCCTCCCCCTAGTGCATGTGCAGTAGCTTCCTCTGGTGGTCATTGGATGAAGGCTCGACGTCTTCCTCCCTACCTGGCGGTCGTCCCTGGATGAAGTCGGTAGTCTTCCTCGCCATGTCCTTCTGACCTTTGTTTGAGTTTTGAGCTCTTCTCCCACCCTGTGTGCCTCTGCAATTTCTTATCCTGTTTGCTCCCCTTTCCATTGTTCTCTCATTGGCCCCTTTCGGCTGACTTCCTTTTGGGAATTTGTTTGGGCTAGCATATGTTAAACTAAGCAACTCCTTCTGAGTTAGCAAAAGTTAAACTAAGCGATGCTATTTGCGAATTCCTTTTGAGTTAGCAATACCAAGTGGTGCTATGGACCCCATACATCTTGTATTCTTCAGCTTGCTATCTCAGAACAAGTTGCTTTCTCTAGTAAATGATGGAAACACCAGTATATTGGTGCTCAGTTAGGAATTAACAGTTGTTTCTTTTTATTGCATTTTAGGGTTAATGTGGCTTGTTTGTGGGATGATACCATGGTTGGGAAATGCTAAATAAGCTGTTTAATGATTTAGTAGTGCTGGGGTAGTATGGTGCTGTCTGTCCACGATTCTGCGTATGCTGGAAACGACTTTGTATTTAAATCTGGATGGCATTGTTTGCAATTGCTCTTCTCTATGCAAGATGGACTGTTAAAATTTGTCTTTTGTTCCGGATGTGTTCTTTAAGCTAATTAAACTTATAAGAAAATTTCAATCAAAATTGTTTAATTGTCTTCATGATTATGATATAACAAGAGAAAATGGGAGAAGGGTGTTGATTATTTTTCTTAAAAACCTGTAGACTGCTTTTTAACTTTTGAAACAAGTATACATGAGTGTATTTAATGTACAAAGTTTGATAAAGATGTGTGTTTTTTACTAGTGGAAAAATTAGTGAACTGCTAATGAAAAACGTTAACTCTGAGCAATTAGGTACTGAGTAATTCCTGTTCATGCATATTTAGCAGTTGACCTGCTAGGGTTTATCAGGGGACTTTCTAAGTCCTTGCGTATGTTCTCTTTCTATCCAGCACTGTGTGGGGTGAGTATGATTGCAACCATAATCTGGGAGTGTGGTATTTGTTTACTTCTGAAGACCAGAGAGACTTTGTCTGTTCTGTTCTCTGCTTTATTCTTTTTGTTTTTTTTTTTTTTTTTTTTTTTTTCTTTTTTTAACTTATTTATGGTTTTATTGCTGACTGAAATTGTGAGTTTCTTAGTGGTGATGGCTAGAAGGTATTTGTGACAAGTAGCCCTCAGGAAACAGAAACCACAGGGAAGCATATGTTGCAGCTAGTTTTGCAAGTTGTCTTAGAGAAAGGACTGCTGTAATTTAAATAGGTTATTGGTACAGGGAATGATGTAAAAAACAAAAAACAAACAAACAAACAAACAAAAAAAAGGCAGCTGACTGGTCTGCTCATTGTCCACTGGAATTTTTCTATAGTCAGTGAGAACTTGAGTAAATGTAAGGAAGACTGGAAGCTATGAGGGGAAGAATCTAAGAAGATTCTTAGAATCTTCTAAGATTCTTCTTCTAAGAAGAAGAATCTAATCTCATGGACGAATCTAAGGCAGTTGCTAGTGCACTAACATTTCTAAAACCACGTTTGGAAAGGAGTGGAAAACTTGTTTTACTTGCATCCAGTGTGCTGGGAGTGACAGATAGCTTTAGAAACTGATAAAAAAAAATTGTTTTGACCAGTAAAGAGTCCAACGCAGTCTAGAAGTGTAACTGATGTGTACTGGAACATGTGCAAAGCCAGATAAACTAGGTGGTGACAATGGCAGAGATTACTTAACCCATATATCTCGATAAAAGTGCTTTAATTTATGTATACAGTATTAACAGTGTCAATGGTTTATGGGCTTGTCTGCCCAGTTCTGTGACTAGTCGGGCGGAAGGATTCCTGAAGTGCACCCTTAAGGTTTATTTCACATTTAACACAGTCATTATATGTTAATGTGGGTGGAAAGAGGAGTGTCGGCGGCAATCTTAAAAGTGCCTGTAGACGCCATTTCAGAGCAAACCCTGAGCAGATCATTCTTATAGCAGAGCCTCGTGATGAGGGACCGTTCGTAGAAGGTCCAAATCGCAGCAGAAAAAAACGCATCTAAGCTCCAAGAAGCTGAGGGAGAGCGAGGCACCCTCCACCCTCGGCAGCGCGGCGGCTCTGACGTATGTGGGCGGGGTGAGGAGTGTTGGTGGCAATCCCGCCCTGTGCGAGTAAAGGCGGTGCCTAGCGAGCTCAGCGAGCTGGGAACATGGCGAACAGGGCGGGCAAATACGGCACGGCAGGGCAGTTTGCACGGCAGTTTGCACGGCAGTTTGCGCAGGCAGGGCGGGGCACCTTGCCATGTAGGAGGCGGCTTAGCACTTAGCACGTAACAGGTCACTTAACAGGTCGCTGGACACACCGAGGTGCAACCGTGGTCACCGCACGGCGGCGAGCTGCTGCTAAAGGGGACGTGGAGACCCGGACTGAAAGCGTGAACGGCCATGCCGCAGTTCAGGTGTCAGGCTGCAGAGAATGCCTGACCTGTCACTGCTACAGGAGGGCAGCCGAGATACCAGCTGAGTGTGGTGTGAGCAGGTGGATGATCTGCTCAGCC